GTGAAACCCACCCCCACCCATCCTCGGCTGGTCCGAAGAGCTGTGGACCCCCTCAACTTTTACCAAGACTTCACCCCAAGAGTCGAGGCTCAGCCTCGCGGTCAGTTAGTCTTCTAAGGAGGAGTGATACTGCAACACAGAGCCCGAACGGGTGCTGTCGCTGAAGCAAGCGCCGAGCTCCTTGCTTGTAATGTGAAAAAGACTGCCTGTAAATAGCAAAAAGAATTTTTTTGTTTTTAATCTGAGAGAGGTGGGCGGGGACCCACTGACTCATAGTGACCCCGCTTAGGGTATAAATCTTTCTCACGCATCGCTCTAGAGCGGATACTGCTCACAGCGGCCCTTTAAGGCAGAGAAGAACTATCCCTGTGGGCTTTCAAGGCTGGAAATCTTTACAAGAGCTGAAAGCCACGTCTTTCTCCCGCAGCGCTGCTGGGCGCCAAGTTGTACCCTGTGGTGAACCGCCCACGGTGTGTAACCAACTGAGCCACCCGGGCCGGCAGGTCGCGACCACGACCCACCCCGCAAGCCCGAGCTAGACACTGGACTGTACCTGAAAGATTTGTGTCCCAACTGTGGGAACGTGGTTATCAAGTTGTCTTTTAAAGGTTGAATTTCATCCACAACTTGCTTGGACATGACTTGTGAAAAGTGACTGCACGCAGCCAAGCCAAAATAAGTGACCAGTCAGCAAATTGCTCTGTTAGTTAGTCTATAAGGCAAAGTGCTGCATTTAACTCAGTTTCTCCTGGAGAGCAAGGGGTATTCCAACCTGGCGAACTCTGGAGTTTATGAGATCAGACCCTAGGCCCGCGGTTCTCAACCTGTGGGCAGTGACCCCTTTAGAAGTCGGTTTCACACGGGTCGCCTAAGGCCATGGGAAAACACTTCCGATGGTCTTAGATGGGTCCGCCCACATATGAGTACCTGGTGTGAAGACGGTTACCCATGCTACACCATGCTTCAAGGCAAAATTTCATTGATTTGTCATTAGAAATAAATTTCATAAGATATAATTACATATTGTTTTTGTGATCCATCACTACGCTTTAATGATGTTCAATTTGGAACAATTAAAATACATCCTGCATATCAGATTTTTACTTTATGATTCATAACAGTAGCAAAATTACAATTATGAAGTAGTAATGAAAATAATGTTATGGTTGGGGGTCACCACAGCATGAGGAACTGTATGAAAGGGTCACGGCATTAGGAAGGTTGAGAACCACTGTTCTAGGGCCTCTAGGAGGAGGCTTTTTCTCCCTCTGGTCTTTAGAGGAAGGTCCTTATCTATTTCTTGTTTGACCTTTGCTCCCAGGAGCTCTTTACGTGGCTTGGCATCTCCCTTCTCTGATTTCTCACTTGCTTGTCTAATCCTCACTCTACAGCAGTGGTTCTCAACCTTCCTAATGCCACGACCCTTTAATACAGTTCCTCATGTTGAGGTGACCCCCAACCATTAAATTATTTTCATTGCTACTTCATAACTGTCATTTTGCTGCTGTTATGAATGGGGGACACCTGTGAAAGGGTCGTTGGACACCCCAAAGGGGTCACAACCCACAGGTTGAGAATTGCTGCTCTACAGTAACCTGTCTCATTAACTTACAAAGAACAAATATCCAAATGGGAATAGAGGTTAGGATTTACAACACATACTTTGGGGGTACAATTCAGTGCTTAATACATAGCATGGCCCTTCATAAGAATTGTGAGCATTCCATGAGGAAATCTTATATGCAAAAACAGGCATTAAGACTTAGGGGGCAAAACACAGTGTTTCTGTTTTTTATTGTGAAAATACTTAATAGCTGTGACTGAAAATGGCCAGAGACCACAAAAGCAACTTCAGAGGGAGTGGAAATAGATGGTTACAATCCCAGTGGGTCGTATAAGCCAGGATTATGTACTCATGAAATCTTTGAGCCCCGGGTTGCTGATAAAGCTTTTCATATGCTTTCTATGTTATTCCTCCTTTTACAACAACCCGCCGATAAATATACTTGTGGCCTTGTATAGACACTGGTGTATCCATTTACCCATTGGACAGAAAGGCAGGAATACGTGATTTCATGAAGATCTGGCAGCTGAACCAAACAAAATTATTTACTGTCCCTAAGCAGCCTTGGTAGAGCCCTGGTGGCACAGTGGGTTACATGTTGAGCTGCTAAACACAAAGTCACCAGTTTGAAACCACTAGCTGCCAGCCACTCTGTGGGAGGATGACAAGGCTTTTTCCTCTTGTAAAAGTAACAGCCTTGGAAACCCACAGGGGCAGTTC